TATATATATAAAATTATATAATATTGACGTTCAAACCTTATGTTTCATACCTAGTTATGTACTTGTCCACAATTCGTTGTCTCCTTTGAAGCTATGAGGTCAAAGATAAAACAATCTATAGCACTTCTTTGAGTCTTTATTAATTCCATAATTACAGCTATTATTGTTGGAAGAGAGTCAAATAATGCTCCAAGAAGCCAGCTTGTGAAATAAATTAGCAAAGTGTCCACTGGCTTCTTTATTTTATGTCAATTAAAATCAGAAAGTAGTTTCTCTTTAAATCCCTCGACACGCTGGCATTCATCATTTCCAACACAAACACTGGGACAATGATTATTTTCAATAATTCCTGATGAAAGCAGGACGCTAATCAAAGGATCTCATTGAAATGCTTTTCAATCACTTTCGGTGCGCATATGCAGCTCAAGTACAGAGATCTTCTGTGGTTCACTGCAGAGGGACATCCTTGTCGTCTCTCTCTCAGTGTGTTGCTCTCTTTACAGGCACCACCTGAGCACCAAGCCCTCCTCCAGCCTGTCACCCTGACCTTTACTAATGATTTTTCACCATGCTAATAAAGGTGAAATTGTCACTTAAGATTAGCCGTTGTCTGGTGTTTCTCACAGTGTGCATCAGTGTCAGTAAACCTCATTAAAAACCAGAATCTTTAATCTTCTGATTAAATAGAGACAGATTAGAAAACCAGCAGGTTTTATTTTTCATCCAAAGAGACTAAACAAGGATGGCTTTGGGTCTCACTCAACCTTTGGTCCTGATATTACTCATGTTTCTTTGTTTTACTTTTTCTGTCATTTGTCAAACATACGAGGAAAAGTTGTTACAAAAAATGTGCAGGACAGTTTTAGACATAAAAAGCTGAATCCTGTGATTTGGTGAAATGCTCCTTTACTAGTTTACTAATCAACATGTAATGATTATTTATTATAGCAGGTTATTTTAGTTCATATAATCTAATAGAATAAAGCTGGGTTGAAAGCATGACCAACAACGACTTCAAGCATTTAAAACTATCTTCTGGGAGTCGACGTTCGTATAATTTAAAACGACCCAACTGGCAACTCTGGTTTGATCTCCTAAACACTCAAATTTTAACCAAGAAATTCAACACAGTGTCATCATGAGCAGATAAAAGTGTTTTCACAGGAACTGTAACGCCTGCTGTGAGCATCCCCATGTAAAGACGATAAACGACAACATAACAAAATACACATGTAAGAATATCCCTCAATAGCTTA